CAACATGAAAAAACATTGATAAGCCAAAAAGAAAAAAAAATTCCAAGGATACCTCAAGATTACTTTTATGGTACCTTTAATTGACAAAATTATCTTCATGAAAATAGAAACTATAATCAGGAAATTAAACTGTAGACTAGAGTTAAAGAACAATCAGATCCAACCTCAGTCTAATGAAGCCAACTGTCTTACTAAAATGTGTTTATAGTCTAAAGATGGGTATCTTGCTTCCAGCATTGTTTACCAACTTGCATGTGACATCTACCATTACATATTAGTTGACAATGAACCAGAACCCTACATTTACAACATAAGAGAAGCACAGTTGTATATAATTTTTTTCTTAGATAATCCTGGACGTATAACTCCTGGCATGAATCCATCATTTTCTGTACAAATCTTTACCAAAGCTGCCAAGTACACCAACAGGAAATTTAAAGAAGCTTTTCTCATCGAGCAACTACGACCACAGATAAATAGGCACAAAGGATGGTACTTATAATTATAGTTATTATTATTTTATTTTCTCATCCTAAGTATTGATATTTCAATCTGTAATTTAGACAAAACTGTTGTTTACTACAGATAGAAATTTATTGTTTCAACAAGGTAATTCAACAATAAGCTTTACTGCTTAATATGTCAAATGTATGCTGTGGATTCAATTCAAATTTACTATTTAAACAAATCAAAGCTTTAGTGTCACTTATGGATTGTGTTTTAGTGGAATATTCCTGTAGAAGCTGTAAAGCAAAACACTACTGGCCCCATTAAAAAAATTGGTGTTATATATCAGTTGTTATTAGTATTAAAAGAATCTAATATCATTGATTCAATTTAGTTTTTGTTAATGCTTTTCTTGTAAGACATGGATTCTTGTGTCATCCCATTGCACAGGTTTTACTTTCATGGATCTTCACTGCTGCAATAAAAAATTTTTTTTTTAATCTCCTATGCTTGTAAAAGGCCAGAATTAGAAATATTTTATTAACTAAGTATGTTTTTATGTGTTGTAGAGTTATGGTATATCTAGATATAACTGAATTAATTTTAGAGCAGTAGGATAGGTCCACTTAATAACAAGAAATATGGTCAAGATTATTAAGTAATACTAAATCTCTAAATAACTGTGTCATTAGAATGAATGAAACAAAGAAATTGAACATAAAGCCCTTGTTTGCCCAGATCAACTAGCTCTAATTATATGAGTGTTTGCTCTCATTCAAATGTAGATGAGCCTGTAACCTCAAAATATCACCTTAACTGCCACTTAAACACACTGTTGTAGACATCTTTGCACATTGTGAAATATTTCAGCAAAATCCCATGGGTAGAACAGGCATTATCTACTAAAGAATAACAAAGGCAGCTGGAAGAAAATAAGCTTAATGGTTTTCTTGATCACATATTATGTGGAACCTGCATATATACAGAATAATTGATAAATTTAGAATAAATACTATAATATTATAAGAAGATTGAAACACATGGTATATTAATATACCACAGAGTAAATGTATTATAATAATCGACTACAGGACTAATTTAATTAGATAGATATGTTCCTTAAACAAGGAATGTTGAACAGATTGTTAAATAATGCTTGGAGATGGCTTGAATAACTACAGAGTGATTATAAAGAAAACCTCAATAAAAAATGTTTTTCAAAAGTGCTAAGGACTTATTAGGTCTTTTTTTTTAAATATGATTTAACGATATTTGTTTGTCCTCTATTTTTACTATTATGAATATAAAATGGACTTCATGTTTAAAATGATTAAATAAAGACATTAACTGTCGTAAGGGAAAAGGAAACATAATTTCATCAGAAGCACATTGAGAATCATAAGTTTTATCTTGAAAAAGTATGATTTGTTACAGGGTGTTTCAAACCACATTATGTTGCTTATTTAAATCCTGCAGATTAGCATTGCTTCATTCCTCTTTTTAACACTATGAAAGTAGTGATTTTAATAAAATGCACCTAGGACATTGTGAGGGTTATTGAACACTGTTTAGAACAAATGCTTGTAGGAGTTTCATTTAAAGATAGGCTTAACATACTGATTGAGAGTGAAAGAAAGCATTTTGAATACCTTATGTGACAGTTTGTAAGATACCCTATATTATGTTCCTGAATAAAACTTGTAATTGACATTTTGTCTCTGATGAAATTTAGATCCTCTAGGGCAATTAGTTTTAAGACATTATTTTAAATGTGGAGTTTTCCTTTTTTTTTATTTTTCATATTGACACGTTTAGCTCTGTTACATTACATATGAGCCAACCTATGAATGAAATAAACATCAAAGCTTGCTGATGTTTTACTAACTTGTGTATCCAAAGTTAAGATAAACAGTTATTATACAATAAGCAAACCAAAATAGTTAAGTTTTTAGATGGCATAGACTATGTCACAATGTATTGTATCTATTGTATCAACATGAAAACAGGTGAAATGTTTGAATTCTTAAAAACTGGGAGAAACAAGAGCCCAAGATAATGTACGTTGAGTAGTCTTGGCTTAGTTCATTTACTTTTTCCAGTTTTCCATTTCTCTTTTGTATAACAACATTGCTTGCTCTGTTTAGACCTTTACTTCTACTTAACCAACTTTATGTTTTCTTTCCCACATGTGTCTTACTGTACTTTAAGATTTTGACTACACTAAATGATGAGTATTTTTAGAGTTAGTGTTACGTTGAATTGGTATAGTACTGGAAATTCAAATGTATATTATTTGGCACATGCACCCAGCTGTGTAAGGAAATATCAGTTTAATCGAAAGGGTCTTTCAGAAAAGGTAAAACCTCCTGTCTTTAATTGAGCTCTAAAATCTAAGCCTTCTTTAATGATACCATAGATAAGTATTTTAGGTACACACACAAAAAGTAATTTGCCTGATGAAAGCTTATTTTATAAGGACCCAGACAATATAGTGCCCCCAGTGGCTTATTGCAAAGTCTGAAAGCTTATAACATTAAAAATACCTGTTTCAGTGTTGTTGGCCTATTATGTTGCTTTATTGTTAACAACAAACAAACAGAATAACAGCTTTATTCTTGGGAAAAAAAAAATATATATATATAGACACATTCCAGTATAACATACATACACATAAATAAAAAAGAAGCATCTGTGATCAATCTCATATGCAGTTGCTATAACCACTGTTTGTAATTATGTTTCTAAAGCATATTTTTAAAAAATGTTTTTGTTATTCTCACTGATAAGCTGTATTAATATGGTCTGAGTTTTTGCAACTACCAAAAAATGAAAGTTCATTAAGCATCGTTAGAAATGAAAATAACAATTATTATATTGTAATACATATCATTTGAGTCATTTATAGAACTTAGTAAAAAGAAATGCACACACCACCAATGTTATGCTGTGGTATTCAACTTTGTTGCCACATTTACTGTTATGATGATAAAACAGTATTTTGAATGTTTTCACTTCTTTCAGGAACTGTGCTTTCCACAACTTATCATACTGTGCATCTTAAAAACATGTAAATTTAAATTATCTCTCACTTGATGTTTTGTATAAAACATCTTTCATATCATTAGTCCAAAACTTCATGTTTATGGTTCTTTATTCTGAATAAAAGTTTTATCTGGTTATTTTGAATATAATTAAATCATAAATACTGCAAATACAAGGTTTTTTTTTTAATGCTGAATATGTGGATAACCAATTTTTTAATCTTTGGTCCTTTTTTTGCTAATCTATATCATTAATGTTACTGTAAAATATTTCTGTGATTTGTTTAATTTGAAATGTTATCTATATCCATACATTTATCAAATGTAATGCTGGTTTGGCTATAGCTAGCTAAATACAGTCCTTTAGTGTGGGATTTGTAAAACTAAGCTTTATACAATACTATAGCATTGTTTTGATGAGATACATCTATTTAACAGTGGTAAATAAGTTTTACTTTTGAATATGAAAATCCTAAACTTTGTATAAGTAAGCTCAAGATTGAATCCTTTATTCTCATATGGAAATTGAGGATACAGTAGTTGATAGTGTGCACACTGACTTTATGTAGGTTGCTTGCCTTTTAGTTAATGAGCAAATCTTTGTGTCTTGTTTATAGGCTTATAGGTAAAAAAAAAAGTACTTTGTGATGTTTTATTCTGTTATTAATTTGTAAATGAAAGTGCTATAAATTTTTTACTCTAAAATTTTTCTAAGTTGTTTTGATTTAATATTTGGGCTTTTTTTCATTATTCTTCATCTAATTCAGACATACGAAGGCTTTATAGAATTTCACTGTGCCATTAAACTTGGCCATTATTGGCAGTTCTACCCAACAAATTTGTCTTCATTTGTTATCATACACAGTTTTTGTGGGGTTTTTTTTTAACTATGATTTATTAATATTCATAAAAGATTTAAGTTTGTGTATACAGTGTGCCTTGCCAAGACTAATGTTGTGGAATATGAAAGTTGATGTGTACTGTTTGTGCATTTTACAAATGCTAATTTAGTGTTATATTTAGAGCATAAGTGAAAACTCTAAAAGCTTTTTTCATACAGCAGTATTCATTTGAAAATCATGAAAAAAAAAGAAAACTTATCATGGAAATTTCTGTATACACTTTTCATTTTTAGATACAATTAATCTTTCACTAGGATTTTTTTCTTCTGGCTGAGAAAACATGACAAAATATGCATTTTATTCATAAGTGTTCAAGAAGTTGCTTGGTTAGAATAAATTTTATTTACATAGATATGTGCCAGGTAAACGATTGCATTTCTCTAGTCTTGGTAATATTGTTCATAAGATAGTGGAAGTGTGATTTTATTTTCAGTGATAGTTCATTTACTCTGCTTTTGCCTACAGATACATTTAGCTATTTTCTAGTATTGTTTTTGGTTAAGATTATTTGTGAATGGCTATCATAGATTGCATCTTTACTGGGAGAAAAAGAAAACAAACTGCAGCTTCTCATGAATTTTTAACTAGAATTTTTGTTTTTGTTACATAGATACACACCAGTTGGAAGGTCTTTTTTCTCAAGTCCAGATGGTTACTATCATCCACTGGGTGGTGGTAGGGAAGTTTGGTTTGGTTTTCATCAAAGTGTTCGGCCAAGCCAATGGAAGATGATGTTGAATATTGATGGTATGTATTTATTTTCATTTAATATATTTTGAAATGTATCATAGTTTTTCTTTTATTAACCTTTCCTTTCAATTTTTCTAGATCAGAATTGAACTCTGTAAGTTCAGTTTTATCAAAATGAAATTTCTTTTAATAAAATAAAATACAATTTTATATAAATTCACAGTTTATGACCTAGCAGGATAAATCTTGACAGGCAGACTCAGGATGGTTCATGGATGTATTCATCTAGAAGGCATAACTCCATACCAAGGGGAGCTTAAACATGCCTGTAAAGTCCTCCATGCATGATGGGAGTCTAACAATAGGTTTTCAGGGTCAGTGAACCTGAATCTGGCATCAAATCTTGTGTTCTTTTAAGCATCATATTTGAAACGATGTTCATACACACACAATTGAGAAGGACCAAATGTTTCACATATTTTCAAGTACTACAGTTGGATGTTTTAACTCTCTTTGGGGTAACTATTGAATTAATTGGGCGTAATGGAGGAGCTTGAGTATTTTCTTCTGTTTAAATATAGTATTTTTTAATGCTTGGCAATAGCTTGAATGGGTAATGAAGAAAAATTTTAATATAAGTTTAACATAACAGCAAATGTACAATGTTTCGACAAGGTTTTGTCATCCTCTCTTTTATTGATTGCTAATCAACTTTACCTGGCTGATAGACATATTTGTAACCAACAGGAAGAGAATAATCTCCTATACATAAATGTATTTACCAATGTTTAGTTTTGGTATCACTTGACCTAAATCTTTAGCTACATAATAATTATATTGCTACTCCAAACAGCTAATAATTTTTAAACATATTTATAGCATACTTCAAAAGGAAACATTCTGTTCTAGTGACTGATAAATCGTTGTTGTTCTAAGATGTGTAATTGAAAGCTACATAAATTTGTGTTTTGGCCCCCAAATTTCTGAGACACAGAAGCTGATGGAAGAACATCTATACGAGTACAAACTGCCTAAAGTGTCAGAAAGTACTACAAATCCTTGTTTTTAATGTATATTTTTTTTATTTATCGTTATATATTTTTTTCAACAAAAGCTAAAATATGAAAATTATAAACTTTTTAGTAAAACAATCTTACTATAATGGAGCAGTGGAGCAATCTATCTATGTGATTGAAATAATAAATACAATGGTGCCATCTGTTGTGCTGAAAAACCAGTTATTGAATGGCAGCATCTTAAACACAAAACCATAAAAAATTTCACACATTAGGTATTCAAGATGCAGACAATTAGAAAAATGACTATGCTATGTGCAACAACCATTTATTTATAACAGAACATAATTTTAAATAAAAGTATCATCTTCACAATAAGAATACAACTTTCACTAGGTTTTTATATTATTGATGTAATTTTTGAATTTGTAGTACTAAAAATTACATAATATTAAAATTTGATTTATTAACTTTCTTTTTGTGTCAAGGTTACTTGTATACATCATTAATAATTAGTTTCATTAAATTTTGAATCTAACTATCTAACATGCATTTTGGCCTACCAGTAGTGAGAGGGTTGATAGTGGGAATGGTAGGACTAAGGGACACAAATATAAATTTTGGAAGGGTAAAAGTCATCTTCAGCTAAGAAAGCTTTATTTTTTGAACAGGGTAGTTTGTCTTTGGAATGGGTTGCTTCAGATGTTGTAGAAACAGGAAATTTAAGGGAGTTTAAGGGAAGGTTTTATAAATATTTGTTTTTATTTAATGGTTTATTGGATGAGACATTCTAGATGGACCAACATGTCTCTTGTAGTTCTTAAATGTTATGTTATGGTATTTAATGGTTTATTGGATGAGACATTCTAGATGGACCAACAGGTCTCTTGTAGTTCTTAAATGTTATGTTATGGTTACAAGTTTGGTTAAAATGACTAAGCCCATACGCATAGGTAAAGTAAAAAATTTTAAGTATTCCATTACTGGAGGGAATGTTTGATTTTCCAAGTTTCCTACTTCTAATGAGAACTAAATCATAGAATTTGAATTTTCTAACAATGTAGATAATAATTGATTTTAATGTTTCTTAAACAGTGAAAATGTATCCTGGAATCTATTGTCCTGTTCATATGTTTCTTGTGTTTATTATTTCTTAAGCATAGAACTTCTGTTTTGCTCTTTCACTTTGGTAAGATATTTTTGTTTTGTTTTGGTCATTTTGCCATTTTTCTAAGTCAAAATTGGTTTCTCATGAAAAAAATATTTTTTTCCATGATGTTTGATTTACCCATTTTATGGTTTATTTTATTGCATTACAGAACAAGTTATTGGATGAAGTAGTTTGAAACTTTAACTTAACTTTGTACATATTATGTTGCTTGTACAAATAAAATATTTCTTTAGGTGATAATTGTATGAAATTGCACCTTCAAAAATTTGAAAGGTTTGATGGTGATATGTTTTTAAGAAACAATATAAACTACTTCCTTTGTTATAGAGTTCAATCATTGATTTGTATGTCTCTTTACATTCTTCTAAAACTTTACTATAGTTTCATTTTATAAAACTGAATTTTATCTTTGTTTTTATTGGAAAAACTCTGCACACAGTTTCACTCTGTTTATGATCACTTAAATACAATAAAAATAACTTTTTTATAGTACAAAATTTATAAACAAATCAACTTTTTAAAATTGTTAATCAGAACATTTGATTAATTATATATTATAACTTCTATGTTTCTTTTTTAGTGATTTTCTTTGCCCATTTCAGCAGTTACTTAGACAAATGAGGCCAAACACAAAGGTCTTGTTGACAAAACAAAACTTGATAAAGTCAAGTTAAAGTTGAATTAACCAAGCCTACTTTATCTTGTTCAGTTTCTTTTCCTATAATACTGCAATATCATAATTAAAATTTAATATAAAATAATAAAGGCATCCTTAAAAAATTTCAGGATTGTAATTGTGATAGAATTATTAATAAACATCGTTTTTTCTAGCACCATATCATGCATCTAAGCTCTTATTACTTTTTTCTAATCTTTACATCAATCTCTGCTGAACTGGAAGTCATATTGGCATACATAGATGAAAGTAAAAGCTTTTTTTACTTGTATAGGTCATTAGCTTATGACTTCTCTAAAGCTGACAAATTTGCAATTACATTACATTGTGTTAGTGTTACCTTTTTCAAAACCATTTTGACTTTCATCTTAGGGAGGGGCTGTGAGGGCCTTTTATGCTCAGAAAAAGAAATTCACAAACACTATTATTTTTGTCAGGGCATATTGAAATCAACCCAATATCAAAATATTTTATTTATTTGTTTAGTTTATGTGTATAAAATTAAATACATTTGTATTGAATAGATTTCAGTTCAGCTTTTTTTAATGTGTGGAAGACCAATTACAAGTTTATTTTCTTTAATTTTTATAATTTCAATTGTCCAACATTGACCTCATTCAGTTTTATTTTAGTGGATGTTTTAATGTTCATAGTACTAATACTTGCTCATTTTCATTAAGGTTTTTTTTTTTGCTAGGAGCTAAGGAAGAAAACTATTAAGACTTCATAGATTGTCATTTTTTTTTTAAATACTTACTTGAAAATATAATCACTTACATAAATTGTCAGATTGTTTGCTTTCCTATTTTTGCTGTTATTTTTGAACCTCATACTTACATCTTACATAACATAATAAATTTTGAGATAACTTTTTATGTTAAGAACAGTTTAGTATGTTATCACTTTTGTACTATCATAATTGTTCTTTGTAATTAACAACAAATCTCTTAGTTATTAGACCACTTATTGTATACCCTATTTGGGAGGCACACATCAAGTATATCCTGATCTCTTTTGCAAAACTTACAGAGGAATCCAGTAGTGTATTTCAACTCAAAAACTGGTAGATGAAGAAATGTTTTTACTAAACTTTATCTGTTGTCATGGTATTATTGTAATACAATATATTGATACAGATTCTCATGAAGCCAGAAATTATCAGGAAGTATGTGTACAGATTTTCTATCAAATTGCACATATGTCTCAGAAAATCTCAGAACAGTGGCAGCTTGTTACAGGATGAAAAAGAAGGCATATCTTCTCAAAGATTTTGAAGAAATGGAATGCTTCTTATCTTTGGTAACATAGAGGCTCATAGAATGGCTCTGTTTTTTTTTTCAAGTACAAACTTTTAGCTTTTAGCTCCGTAGTTTCTTGACTGATTTGAGATCTAATTACAGTTTTTGACTCAGGAGGTCAAGCCATTTTGATTGAAATATTTGACCAAGGTCTCACAGATTAATTTAGTCTAATCCTTCCTAAAAGAATTTCAGCTTGAGGGTTGGCTGGTAGAGTTCCTGATGAATAATAAAATTGAATCAGGTATACGAGGGCCCCATGCTTGGTATTGCTGGCGCACAAAAATACAGCTAATGAAAAGGAAAAAACGGAAGGTCTCATGGATAAATTTACTCTAACTCTGCCTAAAAGAATTGCAATTGCCATGGCTATTGAGGATTCCCTCTTGTTTATATTTCAAGACATTGTAAAGTATTGAAACATATTGAGTGTATTACAGTGTATTATTTTTATGGTGAAAACCAAAAAAGATGGTTGTTTTTTTAACAATATTTTTTTATTTATGACTTTATACAAGTAACCAAGAAGAATTTCATCAGATTCAAAGCTTATTTCGAAGTGTAAGCTAGCAAATACTCAACTTCAATTCCATTATTATATGAGCCATTGGCTTCTATTTTCCTTTTCTTAGGAAGTCTCCTCATTGGCCACATCCATTCTTCTCTAGGTGGCTCATCTGGGTTGACTGTTCAAGTTTTTCAAGTTGTTCCTAACTTTGACTTGGTAGTTAGTCCACCTTGAAGTCTTTATTTCAATTTTTGCTTCAGTTGGGCTTAGCTTTCCCCCATTCGTCCATGAAGAACATAGTGTTTAGTCATCTCAGCTCTTGCCTCTCCTGTACTCCCTGTTCTGGAGGTTCTGTCTCTTTTGAGGTGCTTTTGTGTCTATCAAACATCTTGTTCCTCAAGGTTGTGCTAACACGAGACTTCTTCAATGGACATTGAGGAATCAGTGGAACATTTCTCAAGATCCAGTCCTCTGTTGTGACTGCCACCTCTTTTCTATGCTCTGTCTTGGTGACTGGACCATACCAACACTGTGGTTAAGATCCCACTACCCCACATCTGGATCTCCACTTCTTCAGCAATATTTCTCTTACAAGTTGGGGCCACTAGACAACTCCACAGCATTAGGGATACAGTCTCCTATTGAGCATACCTTCCACATAATTGTTCTGAAACTCTTGGCATTACATCAGATGAATTATTTCTTCTTTCCTCGTTTCTAAGATCATTTATTTATGATCCACCCAGACAGTTTTACAGTTGTTTCACATATCAATCCCTAGAGTGGTTACTCACTCTTTGAACCTTTGCTTCCGCACATTAGACTTACTATTTTGGTCCCATTCATGTCAGGTTCATTTGACAGCCTGTCGTGTGCCAGGAGCTTTGGACTCAGTGATGGATTGACTTTCTTGTCCAAACAGGATTTCTCCTATAGCTTGGTCACTCCATCCTCAGATCATTTGTTGTTTTTGAACTGGTTGTGCATGCAATTGAATAGCACCTTGCCACTACACTCAATACTAACGTCCCCTCTTCTAGTCGTCAGTGCCTCAACCACATGCTCTGGCTGTGAATGCTCTCAGCCAGGAATGGTCTTATCTCTTTCTGTGTGTATACTTCCTTCTTGACATTGATTCACATCACTCCTTGCCGAAGCTTGTTGATATCACCTTTTTGGCCAGCTCATCTATGGTTTTCCCTTCTCCACTGTCTTACATCCAGTGCACCTCTTCCTTTACCCTCATCAAGACCCTTCTTGCTCCAACCGTGCTTGTTTTCTTTTTGTCTTTACATATGGGATTTGTCTAGTCCCTTGCTTGCTGGCCAGGTCTCCCTGAATAAGTAAGTCATTTTGTTCATGTTGTCCTTCCACTCTCTCTATCAATGCAAATGGTGAGTTTTTCATTGCCAGTCCATCTACCGCTTGACTACTTTTCAGCTTTTTCTCTATGGTGCTTTGTTTGTTGCTCCTGTCCTTTCTCATTCATTGTCCCTCTTGTCCAGTTGTTTTGCTTGATTGGGACTTTAATGTGGTTTTCCATGCAATTACACAGGCTCTGTTTGAACCCTCGGCTACTTGTTTCTTGTTCTCACTGAAGACCTATTTCCTTTTCTTTCTTGCTTATGGTTGTCACATATCTGATCTTTATGCATTGTATGCCTCCTGTACTTTATTTCACAGCTCTTCCTTGATTTTATTCTCAGACCACTTGTTCTGTCTCAAGACATGGACAGCTCGGGAGGGTGTTCGTACCTTTTTTCCTATATTTCCTCCATTGATCTATCTGATCCTGACCATCTTTTGTGTCCAGTTCACGTGATCAGATATTACTTAACCCTTTTGTGCACAGTGCCATTTTTAAATTCTTTTCTGTGTATACTACTGCATTACTTTCAAAATTTAATTAATTGTCAGTGAGATTAGCATTATAATGTATGTTATAATTTGAATTTTTATGTTATCTAAGTTTTCTATATTTCAAAGGAGATGTTTCAAAAAAAAATACTTAAACTGCAGTTTTTGTGTCATATGATCTATGCGCTAGGAAAAATCTCAACTTTAGCAGGGCACTGTACATGAGTATCTAGATGCTAATGTGCTGCATGTGTTTGAACTATCTGACACATTATATCTAAAGTATGCAGCTGCATTGTCCGGGAAAGAGATGTACATTTTTCAACCCTTGATGGATGTCATGTCCACCTTCTGTACTTTACCTTGAGATCTACAGTGTACATGTAATTACTTGACACAAATGTATATAGTCATTAGAAAGAGCCTAGTTTACACTGTACTCCACCAAAGGTTAATTTGAAATTGGTATGCAGTTTTCGTATTGAAATAGATGTAACTGCTCTTAGTATTGTTGTCTGCTTGATTGACTATAACACTTATGGTGGTTTCTTACCTAAATATACTATAGTTAGAGAGACAGTTAAATTGTATTTAGGTATTTAATATTTTAGTTAATTATGTATTATGCATGTTTTAAAAATCATATTTGAAAAGTTTAATGATTTTTATAAGTTTAACATGTTGCCTGGATTGTAAAAGGTTATAAACAAGATGGCATGAATAAGTGCCATCTTGTTAAGGCAACGCACTTCTGTTGGGAGTCTGCCGAAATAACTTCATAAAGCCCCACAGGCATCAGTTGAAGTATCGGCATAAATGATAAAAGACGAAGACTTTGAAAGGAAAATTAAAAATAAACTATAAGTGAAAAGGTAAAGATGTGAAATTACACATATAAGAAAAATAAGACTATTCTAGTGGATTTCTATAAAAAGTTGAAAGGTATGTACATATTTCCATTTGTTAATTTTAAACATTTCATTGCACTGTATGTTGATGATAATAGATAGTTAGTGATATAATAGAGGAGATGGAAAATAAAATATAAACATTTACCTTAACCCTCTCAATATGGGGTTGGTCAATTTGACTGAGTCATGTGACCTTTTGTACTCGTTTAAAGTCTTTATAAATTTAATACTTATAACTCTCAATATATTGGGTATATCTTCAAGAAATTTGGCAGTCTTTCAGTTAATATTACAAATCTTTCACATACAAAGTCATATTTCTTTGTGAAGTATTTTTAAGAAAATAAGATAAAGATTTGTCCATGAATATATTGAGTATTTGTTTTGAATAGTCTGTGTGCAAAGTAATTTTCATGCTAAAATTAAAAATACTTTTCATCATCTCAAAAATTGTTTTGTGTAATCCCTAAAACCTATGAATGCATTTCAAACGTTTTTATTCAGTAAAACTTTATAGTTTATCTGTTATTTTCTCTACCCTATCTCAAAATGAGATCAGTCAATTTGACCGACCTTGTAACCACAAAAATAAACCTAAATTAACCTTTTTTTTCTTTCTAGAGTGACTTCAAATTGTGACATGAAACTACATTCGTTTATCCTAAGTAGCTCTAAGTTCGTAATATTATACACCTATTTATAATTAAATTTTATTGTTTTATTGTCCTTTGAATCATGTCTAACTACTATCCACACCATTATAAATTGTAAATCACTCAGGGAAGATGAAGCTCACGTTACACTATCGAATTAAATTACACAAGAGCTGTATGGGTGTGTGCCTTGTGAACTATTTTAATTATATTATTATTATTACTTATTTTACCTAATCTAGTCTTAAATAACTTGAAAAGATCCATATTT